TTTTTTTTTTTTTTTTTTTTTTTTTTTTTTTTTTTTTTTTTTTTTTTTTTTTTTTATATATATATACTTAATATGTTCATATCGAGAGCAACCCTGCCAAAGATTGTCGTGGTAATCGACTCGGTCAACGTGTGTCAACGGTCACAATCGAGTCATTAAATTTTTCATTGTACCAGAGTTTCCAGCTCTTTCCCGGGTTTCTCAACAAAAACATTTTTTTTTTTTTTTCTTTTCCCCAAGTTCGTGGTTGTAAAACATACAGTAATAATTATTATATCATGTGTTGTTGTTGTTGTTATTATTATTATTATTTATTATCGTACATGTAATGTGTATAAAAGTCGCAGGAGACGAGCGAAGAGGTGGCGCGAAAGTTGCTGGAGCGCGAGTTACGGCTGTTCGATTTGATCGACCCGCGGGACCTGCGCTCGTACGCCTGGTACCACGGGAGCACGCTGCCCGGGGGCCGCAAGGGCGCTGAGGCCGAGATACCCTGTGACGGCGACTTTCTCGTACGAGACTGTACGAGCCAGCCGGGAAATAGCTACGTACTCAGCGTCAGGCACAAGGGTCAGCCCCTTCACTTTGTCATCAACAAGGTTTGTCTCATTTATCACCCAATTATTATACCTTACATTCGTCTACACGTGTACATATATATATATATAAATATAAATATATACACGTACATGTATTATATTTTTCTTTTAACTATTTGATGTTACCTTATGTTATTTATACAATACAACACAAGTATTTACAATTATTCATTGGTGCATGCACGTTGATGTACTACTTTAAACAAATTACGCGGGCTCTCACGATGCCACGGACACCGTTTTTGTGTTTTCGGCATGCTCGTTTTTTCCCCGTTCAAACAACCCTGAGTGTGAGGAAAAAAAAGAAAAAAAAAACACTTTTCCCGTAGCTGGTTCTACAACCAAACACGGTGTACGAGCGCGTGCAGTATCAATTCGAGGACGAGCCCTTCGACACGGTTGCAGACCTAATAACCTTCTACGTGGGCAGTAAGCGGCCCATCAGCCAGGCCAGCGGTGCCCGCATCGTCCATCCAAGGCCCCGTCGGCTGCCCCTCTCCGTAACCTCTGCTTCCAACTGTTTCGGTTTCCCCAGGGCAAGCTCGTCCACATCCTCCTCCTCCTCCTCCTCCTCCTCCTCCTCCTCTACCATATCAACGGCGATACGCTCGCCACCCCGGGTGCCCCGCAAAAAGGAGCGCAGCAACTCGTTGAGCGTTTGCCAGCATTACCAGAGCCCACCCCCGCCCCAGCTGGTGCATACCCTACACCGGGTGCAACAGTCGAGCACGTTGCCGAGGCTACCGGCGGCCCACCACCACCATAATCACCAGTTACCCACGGTCAGTTGTTCCCTGTCCCTGGGCCGTCAGCGAATCACCAGGGTCGTGTCCGATCCCGCGCTCAAGTTCCAGCAACTCCAGCTCCACCATCACCACCAACAACTTTTACGGGCACCCGGGGCTGCTACCACCATCGAGAGAAAGAAAAAATTGATTGAGGAGGAGGAGGAGCCTCATTATCAGTCGCCTCGTAATAACTCTCGGGTTCTCGATGCCAGCGAGGAGCCACCGCCTAAACCACCAAGGGCGCCCCGGCAAATGAAGCCACCCCTGCCCCATCGACCGTTGACTACGGCTTCGGGCAGCGACAGCGGCAACGGCTCCGGGGACAGCGAATTCGAGGCAAATTGTTCCTCTTTTCAGCCGGCGATGAAGGACATCGTCGCGCGAAGCTGCCACAATCAAGCGAAGCAGGCCCTCGGACTCGGCCATCATCTCGACATCAAGCAGTGGGAGGAGCTCGAGCGCAAGATCGTCAGCGAGACGACGGCCGTGCCTAGTAGCCTCGACATACCCTCGGTCCTTGACGACGAGAACTTTGTCACCCTGCTGTTGCCCACTGCTGCCGAGCACAAGCCCCTCGATGCCACCGCCCTCAGGGCCGTCACGGCCATGCTATACGAAACCGCCTCCCGAGTCGTGGCCGCTCACCTCACCAAGATCGACGTGGACATGCTTCTCAAGGTTATACTTATATATCTATCATACGTCCATCATCTGTTGGGGTTATTGGGCAAAAACAAAACATATGTACATGTATAATAAGTACCTACAGCATGTATTTTTTTTTTTTTTTTTTTTTCTCTACGTAATATATTGTGGGGTGTAAAATTAAATGACAATAACCCCAATGTAGACGTACGTGGAGGGGGACGCGAGTAGCCTGCGCTGCGGCCTAGAGCTCCTGGCGATGCCGCACGCCCGCCAGACTCGGCTGGACGTGATTGAGCGCACCGAATGCCTCAAGCTGCTTGTCGCGGTTACGATACTTACTTGCTGCACGCCGGCCGAGCGGGCCTCGACAATAGCGCGCTGGATCCAGGTTGCCATTGACACAAAGACCGCCCTCGGCAATCTCTACGGTTTTGGTTCCATAATGCTCGCCCTCTGTCTACCTCAGGCAAGCCACATATACCTACATATATTACCCATACTTATTATTATGCATAATGTATAACCCTCATAAATTATACCAACACAATCAAATAACCCCTTCTTATTGTTATTAATATTAAGGGTTACACATGTAATATATATTTAACGCGCGAGCTTATTTACCTACACGGTGATTATGGCGAGATACCTAGAAAAAAGGGTTATTTGCAGTTTCATGCACCGGTCATGTTTTAAATAATTCAAACACCTGTTGTACTTTATTAAATTAGGTACAAAGGCTTGCCGAGACCTGGCATCTTCTCAGGCAAAAGCACACCGACGAGGCTTTTACCTTCGAGGCCAAGCTCAGGCCGACCCTTCGCGCCATGAACGAGTGCACCGATCCCCAGGCTCCCAACACTACCGTGCCCCACGTCCTGCCCATAGCCCTCCTCAACGAACGCACCCACGACGATGTCAGAGGTACATAATTATACATTTAATTGTTGACCTTGCCCAATAAGAGAATACGATCCCATCGATACTATTGAGAATCTCACCTTTTTTTTTTTTTTTTTTTTTTTTTTTTTTTTTTTTTTTTTTTTTTTTTTTTTT